CTCCTATCTAAACGACAATCAAGACCGCATTGGAATTGAAAAGAGCGGCCAGCCAAGTCAAATAATTAAAGGACTCTCTACCTCACAAATCGCGTGCTCCGATCTTCCATCGCAATCCTGCGATAGGCGGCGGGTGCGGCGTGTGCGACGCCGTGTTAGGGGAGAAGTTCCCGGACCCCTTCAGAGTAGCGAAGTGCATTTAAGAGATGTAACTGTGGTGGTTTTTAAGTGTAGAAAAAAATGACACAAATCTCAGGAAAAATTGACAGCACGACAATTATTGCAGTAGAATACCGTAGAAGGATCGCCGTTGAAGGCTTCTTCTGATAGCCTCGGCGGAAAGTTACGGATTTCATCGATGAAAGTTGAAAGAGCTCTTATAGTGTTGCCTCCACCCTTCCTTGAGCTCCTTCTTCATCGTTAGACCCGTTTCTGCCGTACGCTTTGCCTGTTGCAACAACTTGGATGTTGTCAAGAGGCCCCCATGTGGTTAAGCAGACGGCAGAGTAGGAAGGTGCAAGTCCAAGGTGAAGTGTTAGACTTTATTTCTGTGTTCAAATTTTTGCACCCAAATGACATAAAGATAAACATGTAGTGGAATAGAACTACACCAAATAAATTCAATTCACTTTATATATAAACTAGGAAAGTGTAAAAAAGGAATTAATGATCAATATTCAGCCGTTGAAATTCTTCAACTCAAGTCTTGCTCGAGTGTCAGATTTCATGTTATTAAGGCTACTATTTTTTCAATTAATCTATGAATATCCTCAAATATCTCGCTGTTGCAAAACAGCTCAAGAAATTGTGACCACGTGGCCTTTTTGGGTGTTTTGAATGTCTGTAAAGGCACATGAGATAATTTCGAGTATTACATTAAACATCTCTTTGTAATATTCACTTTGAGATCAAGGGGTTACATAGCAACGGAATCTATCTGGAACAAAGACTCAAAGGCCTAAAATCTCTGCTCATGCTGCTCTTGTCACGACATCTACTCGTGTTCTCAGCCAGAGAAGGGCCGAAGTGTTCTTCTTTTGAAGACCGAGCACACGTTTTAGCTCAGAATGAATGTTCCTAAAATAGAGGTCGAGGAAATTTTCAGTAAAACAGTTCGCACTGAAATGGCAAAAACAACAGAGAAAGGCAAACCTGTTAAGAACCAGGTACGGTAGAACAAGCACATCAAGAAACAACATCAAAGCACTTTCGGCTATCACTATATCAACATCCGCGCCAAATTGGGCATGTACAGGGAAGAACTCCCAGTAGACAAAAAAGCCCACTTCCTCTACCATCATTATAGAAACCTGAAAAGGTAGACCAAAGAAGATTATTACTCGAACACGTTTCGTGTATGTCAGTCGGTAATGGTTTCTTCACTTTGGTATGCCCCAAAGCGCATATATGTATTAGTTTGGTCAGATCCATTAGTCTCTCAAATAGAGCTCTTCAACAAATTGCTATTCGAATAAAGCCCTCCCATCGCCGTAAGTATTGTACCATACACTTCGTGTACCGCTACTCGATTGTGCCTCTGCCCTATTATAGGCTAACCTATCCTATTATTCAATCTCTTTCACATGTTTCTTGAATGCTGTGCCTGGTATACAGCTTGCAGCAACCTACAGCAAATTATATTCGAAGTTACTGAGTTGCGATTATTGATGGAAAACATGCTGATGGCACATATAAAATGTTCACTTATTTATTTATTCAATGTACATACGCACTGAGGTGCGCTTCAGTAACAAACGAAGAAAGCTAACCAATTATAAACTTAAAGTGCAAAAAGGCAAAAAGAGCACAATAAGAAACACCATACCCTTACGTGGTTACTCTCTAGGCTTGGCACCTTAGAAATCCTGTATACCTAACAAGTAGAAGGCAAGGGGATCTACCGTCTTCAATTTCCTTTTGAACGCATTGGTACATGGCACCCTTTGTAGGTCTTTTGGTAACAGCTCAACACGGAAAGAAAGCGAGTGAAACACACGAACACGCTGACCTCTGTTTTAGACAGTGCAGAGAAAACGAAGTGACATGAGCTTTACCTAGTCTGATAACCCAGTACTTACCCGGCCGTAGCTTAAGTTTGCTCTTCAGCACTTTGAAACAGAACACTATATCGCTAAGTACTCGGCGTTATTATGTTGGGTCGGGATTGCATTTATACATTAATATTGTCATGGAAGCTTGTTTAGCTTTTCAATTTTCACCTGAAGGGTTTTAGTTTCAGCGTTCCATATCTGTGAATCGTATTCGAGTATGGGATCGTATTCAATATGCGTTTTAGGGAGCTTAACAAAATTGAAACATCACTGTATCGAACATCTGAGAATGGGAAAAAGTGGTGGGAAGGCTTTCCAACGAATCCATCGATGTGATGCAAAAAATCCAAATATGATTTGCTAATAATCCAAAGGTCACGAACTCTATATGAAGTATTCGGTGAATGTCGTTGACTATGTATGGATCGATTGTGGCTTTACCCAAATGAAGCACAGATGTTTTCGTAAAGTTTACAAGTATTCCTCAAGCAGTTGCTCACTCTATCATGTTGCAAATAGATTGGATAAGGGCTTGGAATACCTGATCACGATCTTCATTACTGTAAATGTTATATACTTATTGTCATCGGCATTGATATGAATTATTCAGTAGGAAAATCAGCTTTTCCTGCAAAGATAAATGGCTGACGTGATGTAAGGTCGTGTAAGGAGTAACCACGTGCATGGTTCAAAGATCAAGTCGTTCATCGATAGCTGCTTCGTACTAGCCCTTTATCTCTTCAAATGCGTTGAGATTCGGACTAGACCGGACTGGGTCGGTCGTACGTAAGCATTCAAGTATTTTTAATGGAAGATGGATGCAAACTGAGAACTGCTTCGATTACTTCCTTTTTCACCGCCTACTTTTTCCACTTTCGCATAACCTTTCGAACTTTTTGATTTACTGTAGACATACGTACCTGTAAAGTCACTCTGAGCTCATGATTGCGAGTGAAAGATAGCATTTTCCTCTTAACAAGAACGAAAAACAGCATTGCATAGGTGATGGAATTTACAATCCCACTGAGATAATTGAAAACTTTGTTGATCCTGTAAGCAGAAAGACAGAAAATCGTCAGAGGCTACTGACATATTGACAGAGTGTTCTCAGTATAACAGATTGTAGAAAACTGCTAAGTGGCTGAAGGTAAACATCTCCTGAAAACCAGCGTACAGCGTACCCGAGTTCATTTTCATAAGAACCGCGGGCCAAAACGTGAGAGCATTTGTGAGAGCTACGATTACTTTTCTCGTTGATAGGTTTCATAGCTACAGTGAGATCTTGCACCTTGCTGCAGCTATGAAACCGTTCGTTCCATACATTACTTGGGAAGGTTACTGCCTGCAGCGGATTCAAAGCTCTTGGCATCATCCAGAATTCCCTCAACGACAGGAGCTTACGACATTTTCCCTCCCTTGCAGAATTCGCCCGTCATAAAGCATTCATCTTATTTCTAGGACAGGATGACGATTTAAACACTTGTGCATCCCGCCTCTACTGTGCGCAACTATGAGAAAATGAGAAATCCACCTACACTGCTCTAGTAATGAAATTGGGTGCTCACGTTGCAATTGATACTGCGACATTTATGTGCCTATAATATTACCTTTTTGTAAGTTTTCTAGTGTTTCATCATGTGCTGAAAGGCTAAGTTCCGGTAATTTCCAGATGTGCGAGGCTATATTGACCGGCTTGCAGGTCCGCGTTCAAAGCTGTGGTTGGGTAGTTGTCGAGGAACTGGATGGATGACGGCCCCTTGCATGACTTCCCCTTATCCGTCCGCCTGAGGTCGCGGTTAAATTCGGTCTTGCAATGTGCACACAGCAAGCCCGGTAAATGCGTCTGATTCACTGCGTTCTGGATTAAGGACAAGGATTCGCTCGAACAAAAAACTGCCTACCAAAGGAAAAGCAACCTGTTGCCCTGCCCCATGATCTCGTCTTATCATCAGATGTCGGCTTGTATGGTCCGAAAGCTCTCGTCAGGGTTTTTCTACTGTTCGATGGAGCTTTGCTTGGAGCTTTCATTATTCTTTTCAATTATATTTATATTAAAATATATGTATATAACTTTAACGGCACGTCTACATGTCCACATCTCTAAGAGTGGGCCCCTTAACTGATAGAGCTGCAAGCTACACGTGGACATCCATATGCCAAAAACAGTAATAAAAACGGGCCTCACCCCCTTGAAGCTGAGAGGCTCAGAGTTGGGGACAGGTACCGCTCGGCAGCAGCTGCTGTAATTTCAGAGTAAAGACAGGCTGCCTAAAAGGAGAAGGACCAAGATGTTGATCTGTACTTTCAAAACACGAACGCTCGCATCGGGAGCGTGCATCGAAGATTTGATGATAGTAGCCAGGAGTATCAAATACGACTTCATCGGACTAACCGAGAAGAGAAGGCAGCGCCCGCAGCATGCTACTTTGAAGCTGGAGAAGAACTGTTCATTGGAACATGAGACAGCAGAGGCGTCGGCGGAGGTGGCCTCATCAACGCGCACTTGGCCATCGAATCGTCGAACATCGAATCGCACGAGGGCTTGGCAGCCCGAATCGGATGTATGCGAATGAGAAGATGAGGCTCAACCGCAGCTCTAACAATCTTGATTGTTTACGTACCGACATCGAGAAAACAAGGGCTGGAGGCGTTTTACATGGATCTGAAGAGGCTCCACAGAGGAAACCATCCTTTCTTCAAAGTCATCGGCGGTGATCCCATCGCCAAGATTGGCCACAGAAGAAAGGCTAAAGAGCTCCACATCACGAATCACGGAATGGAATGGAATGAGCAGGGTGAAAGGTCCTCCGAGTTTATCATGTTGACATACACTATCCATGGTAATTCGCAGTTCCAGAAGCCCTCTCATTTCCGATGGACATGGGAATCATCTGGTGGAGTTCCATAATGAAATAGGCCACATCATCTTCAATCGGAGATTTTGCCTGAATGACGTCGCTGTTGTTCCGAAAATCTACAACGGATAAGGACATCGTTTTTTCCGTGATAGATTCCGCTTCTCAGTGCGTGAGAGAGAGCTGCAAAGTTCAGGAAACGGAGCCACGAGACCGTTTTCAACTCGATCACTTCGCTTCACTGGCGAGTTTGTGGGAAGATTGTGTCAGCGACAACGTTGCCAAGAATACGTCCGGCTTATCGAACAACTTCACGATAGCGCCAAGTAAGCTGAGAGTCACAAAGATGTCAAGAAACGTCTCTCGTCAAAGACTCCTGAGCTGATATGCCTGCGTAGAATCGTACTATACTTGGCGCTATCGTGAAGTTGTTCGATAAGCCGGACGTATTCGTACGAGCTGCAGGCAATGACCAGCTAACGTCCAAGCATGAGCTTCGCAATTACAAGCCCAAGATGACTTGCAATCTTCGTCCTGATGTAGCTTTCACTGCATCATGAAGGGCAATGGAGTAGGTAACTACGGCTTTCACTCTGATCTCTTCTGCAGCCACAACCACCTGCATATCTACCGTCTTGGGCAGAGGGATACCTCGTCCTTTCGGTTCTCCCTTGCGAAATTCGACATGCCGTCGTGTCGATGAGGAAAAGTACGGCCCTCGGTCCTGACAGGCTCAAAGCAGAACATCTAAAGAGCCTTTTCGCCAGTCATTGTCAAAACCATGTTGCTGTATAAGAAGGGAGATACAGACGACATTGACAATTATCGCCCAATTTGCCTGCTCTCTGTAATCCATGAACTCTTCACGCGAGACATCCTTAAAGGATTGGCAGAAAATTAGATGAAGGACGGCCATGCGAGCAAGCGGGGTTTTGGAGAGGGTTCAGTACAATAGATCACATCCACACCGTTACAAGACTCATTGAAGTATCATGGGAGTACAAAATGCCGTTATGTCTTACGTTGAAGAAAGCCTTTGTTACCGTCAAGACAGAAGCGGTAATTGAAGCCCTGGGCAACCAGGGTGTTAATACTCAATATGTAAGGATGCTTCGTGAGCTCTACAACAACTTCACGACCAGGATCTCGCCATTCTATTGGGAGGTCATCATCAACGTGAAAAGAGGGGCTCGACAGGGCAATACCATCTCGCCCGAACTTTTCAGGTCGCTCTCAAGAACGTCATGCGTAATATGGAATGGGAAAGCATGGGAGCTCGAGGAAATCGACGACCAACGGGATAACAGGTAACACAGGCGAATGTTACTTTCCAAGAGACCTACGGTCAATTCCCGAAGCTCCTTAAACATTTATAGGGATCAGAGAAAGCAGACGTGCTACAGTGGCGCAGAGCGAAGACGGGAGGTTGATAATGGTGATAGAATAGACGTGAGGTATTTTTGTCGTATGGGATTTCCTGTCGCTAATCGGCAGACTGCTGAGCATGCGGTTTTGCTTTTCATCAATATCACACGTGCTACCGGGTCGTATAATGGAGAATGACAGACAGGTTTTATTCTTCTCTTCTAAGATGTTCACTTTCTGTTCATCTGCCTTACTGCGGTAAAGCATTGCATGTGTTTGACCTGACTGGCTTAGGTGCAAACTGGAAAAACTCTCAGACGTCTTGAACTTTTGAGACATTTTTTAAACATAAATGTGGCGGGACAGGAGCACTTTTGGTTTGAAGAAAAGGTAAAGCGGATCATGTATTCGTTCCCTTCCTTTTTTTTTCTTGAAGACATTTTTCAAGGAATCTCCTCGGGACCTTAAATGCCTCCACAGTCGCAGTCGTAGACTTCAAAATGAATTGGCTTGATACTCATTACGCCAGCAACATTATCATTTGCTTAGATGATCATTCAAGAAGATTTAGTGTTTCCAGACTCACTCTTGTAAAATAATTCCCTGGCATGTTTTATTGTACAGACAAAAACTTACATCTGAAACAATCGAACGCTACGAGTTCTTATAGCGTCAAAGGCCATCAAAGAGCCAACCCATCGGACACCAACGAGGTTTGTGTTAAGTAGTACAATAAAAAGAACAAATATGACACCAATAGCGAGCATGGTGACCTGAATTCGCTGAATTATCAAAGGATAGAGTATAAGGCTTTGAGTATTATTCGATCCCGCCTGAGGGACACGCCTACGCATTCGACTCCCATTCAGTATTGTCGTGGCGTATTGAATGCGTATGCGGCTTGTACAATGACTTATGGTGACCAGCCGATGTACAAGTCACTGATCTCACCCTCCCAGACGACTTTGGTATCAACTAACCGATCGCGAGGGATGGAATGCCTGGGTGGCCTAGGCGGATTTCTATCCGCGATTTTTGTGCACCACCGAAGAAATGGGGGTTCAAAATGAAGGGAACAAAACATATTTTTCTAATTTTGCTGAGTCGGAGCTAAGCTAGGCCTGTAATCTAATCATGCAAATAGAACAAACCTTTGTAGCTAGCACACTGATACGATTGCTACCTATGAGAGGCCAGACCGTGTAGATGAGCCGATGTAGAGCTATAACTACGTCGGTCAGAATCACTGTAAAGATCGCTGCATACGCAAAGGAGCCGAGAAGCTGAAAGAAAGCATGACTCACAGACATTCAAACCTACAGCAATATCTTGATTTCCTCTGAAACATACACCTGACTGACAACTTATGTTAGGTCCTATACAAGGCACTCTTTTCTACTCTAACCTTCTACATTTCGAGTTCATACAACTGAGCTAAAATCTTTGTCTGCCCTTTTCTATTACTTTTTGTTTTATGGTAATTATATAGTGAGCAGTCCTGTTATTTCCGACTGAAAACTAAATGAAACGAGGAACTCACAATCCACAGAATTTGATATTTGAACCAATCCATGTAGAGTAGAGCTGTTATGCTCCCGATCATGTGAGTTGTCAAATAAAGTAGTGCCATTGTTGACAGATAAAGCAGAAGAGTGAACGAGAAATTGGCCTTCCAGCCACGCAGTTTTCTTGCACCCTTAACTTGTCCAATGTAAAACAAGATTTCATTGTGACACCCATGCAGGTGGAGTCTGAACGGAGGCAGTATGAATCTTTTCCCCATGGAAAAGAGGGGTAAAGCCCCCTTCTTTCCCATTTTGGATATCTCGAGCTACCCTTGCAGAAACTCGGCTTCAGTCATTCGAAACCAGCGGTTCTTATCTTCAAATACTTCCACAAGGGACAAAATGGAAAGTGACGTCTTCTGAGAGGGTATACAGATGGTGTAAGTACACCGAGCACCCTTCTCCGCTACAAGTTATGATTTCATTGTAAGTGGCTAGCTACTTCAGTAAGACCCTTCTAGCTACTTCAGTAGGAATCAGAACTACTTACCACAATAAAAGCTAGGTGTAGAGTGATAGAAAACGTATACAGCGTGAAGTACCATGCAGCAGCCAGAACTCTTTGAGATCCGACGAAAAGCTGAGGTGGAGTAGCCGTTCTAGGTGCTGCAGCAGTTACTGGTGGTTGAGAAGTATACATTCAATGAGTTCTAAAATTTAATGATGAGTATCCAAAATGAAATTGTTGGCAATAATGGGTTGCGGTGATAGGAGGCTCCGTGTCAAGTTGCTCAAGATTCAGGCCACAGAAGCCTAGCAGGAGAAAGAAATCTGCAGTTAACTCAGGCAAGTACCCTATGGTACCATTTTGAATTTATTACTTTGTTATCGCCACGTGAATTCAAAAGTATTTCTATTCGATGAGAGAAGAATTTGATGAAAAACAGTGTAGCAATTTGAATAACTGTATGGAGAAGGACAGCATCCATGGATTTGGCCTTTATCGCTTAACTACTACAAACTATTAACTACTACAAACTACTTATGAAAGTTTTGTAGCTACACTAAAAGCCCCGCCTCATGTAGCTCGGACGCACCTAAAAACTACTCTAAGTCATGATGAGTACATTTTGCAGTCAGCATATATAATATGTATTTATTCATAAAGCATAAAGTCTTTTAGCGTTAGCCAATCCCGACTAAGGAATGCGCCCTGCATCCGGCTTTCATTCAGAGTCGACAAGAGTTTTGAATGCGTATGCGGCCTATTCAGTAACTTTCATTGGCTAGTTGATTTACTTATTTTGATTACTAGTCAGTGTTTTATCCGGCCGAACAAGTCTGGTAAAATTGAATGACCAGGGAGGGATAGAAGGCTTAGTTGGCCTGTAATCGATCCGGGATTCGAACCCGTGACAACGTGTGTGACATAGTGCGCCACTTGCCACTACTCCGCCCCATTTGTTTATCTATCTCAAATATTGTATTGAATTCATAACAGGAAGTCTGCTAAAGGGGTGCCATTCTGGGATTACCTTTTAGCTTCGGACACTTCTTTGCCATACTAAACGCTTACACCGGTTTTATTCCGGAGCATTTTGAATTCCATCTAGTTGAGAATTCGAAAGGCCATTTTTTCTTCACAAAGTATTCAAAACTCGATGCTCGTAGTAAATGTGTTGAAAAAGATTCAAAAGTTCCCCTTTTTCGTACATACATACTCCTTTTTGCAAGATTCAGGCGAAATCTGGGTCTTAGCACCCGTTGCCAAACCTTTTTTATGGTTCAACTATCATTCTTGTCTTTTGCTTCCCCTCCTGCCGATTCCAATAGTTTGTGGCACTAGAAAGGATCCGATTTCGAATGAAATACCAATCCACCCGCAAGAAATTTTTTCACCTGTCGTGGTGCACTTATGAAAAAAAAAACAGATCTAACAAAAATTGTAACTGCTCAAAATCGTATTCAAGTAGATGGACTTTCTGTTACAATTGGTTTTATTCAAGAAAAAATGAAATATCAAGAATTTTTATTTGCATTAAGCGATTAACTGAGGGGCATGAATCAACGTGCTATTACCACATTGGACTTTATGAATGCAATAAAGGTAGTAATGAAATGGATAGTCGAAGGAATGCCGAAACATTTAAGTGAATCGGACAGAAAACAATAGGTCTGTGATAACGGCATTCTCAGAAAATCCAAGCTAGAACATCAAATGGCATGGAAATGCTTTGCTTTCTATTTTCATGAGGGCTGGCAGAGTCTTCTTGAAAACACTGATGTAGCCGAAGCTATCGAGGGAGAGGGCTTGCAAATTATAGAATTCAATACATTTTGAATGTTATGAATTTCCTGATGACAAATCCTGCATAAGTGATTTCAAACGACAGTTTAAATTAACACTTTTCACTTCAATGTGCAGTACGTTAGAACCAATTCTAGAAAGCCGGAAATAATCAGCTGATCGCATTTTTAGCCTGGCCCATCATTCGTTTTGCTCTAAGGAAATGAAATATGACTGTGAATGTCACGAAGCTTCCCTAGGAACGCAAATGTGGTGGTTCTCAGAGAGCTTAGCTAAATTTGAACATCATCGCGCTCTCGTCATTCAGCCAGACCGAAAAATACCGTGGAGCTTTTCGATGATTGCTGACTTCACTTCAAGTTCTAAGGATAAGGTGAGATATTCATTTTGTTGAGTAATCATTATAATTTCCACAAAGGCTTTAAAGTTTTCTTCACAAGTTCTTTGCTGATCCCTGGGCAAGATTAGAATTAGCTCCTTCTACTTCAAGATGTTTGAGGAAGGTCATTCACCTCATGTTTGTAATAGTATCACTGCAACTGCATGCGTGCCGTCCAGACAACGGGCGAAGAGCTACATAGTGAAAGAGGCTAGTTGCACAAGTGATGATTAGCGTCCCAAAGCCAATTGTTCAAAGATTTCCTCCACAGGAATGGGAGGAGAACTTGCTAAGAGCTACTGTTGTGGCACTTCTTCTGAGATACTATGGTATGCTTGTCATCTAGGAAATCACAGCCCGGGATAGCATATGGTTATAATAAAACTTTGTAATATCCGAATACTGAGTAGAGACTCTGAGCGGTATTGGCATATAAGGGATGAGGTTCCCCCAACTCATGCGAGTTGAACGTATGCCTGCTCAGAATTTACATAAAGAGGTACCCTCGGCCCAAATGCCTGGTTTTACTGATCTCTAGGGCCTTCTTACTCCGCACATTCTCTACGAAATTGATCGAATAAAATGGCTTTGGAAGTAAAGCACCCTTCAATAACGATAGCAAAATTCCTAGTGCCTTCACATTGGTCATAGAACATATCACACGCTAGTGCCATCCTGGGGTCTTCTTTGAGTCGAGCCCTTCGACAGAGTGACCCTTACCAATTCCTTTAATGCTGGTTTACTGATTCCAAGGAAGGGAATCAATTCACTTCAATGAACACATGTCTTTTTCCTTCGCTTTTTTTTCTGCCAAAACTCTTTCACCAGTATTGCTCTTTGCTCACTCCATGAAGCCGTCATCGTGAAAAGGCTATTTCGACGTAAAAAAGTACCTCTGTTGAGCTGGTAGCATATGTGCACTTGAAACAATCAACTAAAACATATTTTACATTAAAGTTGTTCCGACTTTTTGAGGATGTTAATGAGGCTTGCATATGCACCGGGCTTGGGTGTGGTGCGTTAGGAACGAAATTGTCGCGCCGCGGTGAGAGGGGCGTCGCGCGCGAAGAAATGTAGCAGGATGCAGCAGTAGGTAGGAAATACAAGAA